ATAATTTGGGACGGAGGGAGTAGAATATTTTTTAATCTAAATTTATATAAGGTAAACATCAATATTTTAATCTAAAATATAGTACCTTCAATTAAGTTTAACTACATTGTAGAATATTAAGTGCTAGTTCATCTCTAATTATTTTTTTAAACTATCTTTTTATGTATGAAAATAATATTTGTAATATTTTTTTATTTTAAAGACAATCATTTAGATAACGTAATAACACCACCACTAACAACAACAACAACAACAACAATAATAATAATAGCAATAATAATAATTTATATCAACAAGATCGGAATGAGAATAATTTAAAACCACACATAAAAATTTTTGAAAAACTTTTTTTAGATTTTACAATTTATTCTAGTTTTTTCAGTTTCTTTTAATTTTTTCTTGTTTTTCCAGTTTTTTACAGTTTCTTTCAGTTCTTCCAGTTCCTTCCAATTCCTTCCAGTTTCTTCCAATTTCTTCCAGTTTTTTCCAATTTCTTCCAGTCTCCAGCTCTTTTTTTCCAATACTAAAGAACAGGCCTAAGTGTTTACCAGCATTTGCATTGTTTGACTTTTTTTGCAATCAATCATCTTAAATATTTGATTTATAACGAAATAAGATTTGTATATTTTATTGATTAAATAAAATACTATTTCAAAAAATATTATTATTTGGATTTGTGCAGTCAGATTTTTTTAAAATAACGGATCTTGGTTTCATTTTGAAAAAAAAACATGGATGTCTTATCGTAATTTTTTTCATATTTTACTCATAATTTAATCTTTTTTCCTATTAAATTGCGGTGGAACATCCACTTTTGGGCACCCCAAACCCGGCTCGATAGGGTAATAAGGGGTAAAATACTTTGAGATTATCTCGCGTCTGATGTGCACACTCTGTATTATAAGATGTACTTCCACACTGGCACTATCAAAAATTGATACAAGAGTAACTAGAGCTTGTTATCTTGAACTTATACTTATTTTTTATTTACATCAGATCAAAAATAATTTAATAATAACTATAATCAGATTAAAATTTAAATGAAACATCTATTTAGAATCAAACATATAAGTTGAAGAAAACAAGGCTTTAATACATGTTCTCCCCAACTGGCTAGACTAGATTAGGAACCACTTTAAATATAATTATAACCAGATCAAATTAGACCAAACTAAATTAGATCGGATTAGATTTGACCTTAATAAAATCATATCAGATCTAATTAGATGAGACAAAAAAGAGAACTTCTAAGGTTGTTTGTAGTGGGCGTTGTAACACTGCATAGCGCCCCACAGTGTTCCCCCCAACACCCCTCCTGAGTGTTATAGCCAACAAATTAGTTATGGCATTAGATTGTGTGTTATCATGGCGCGAGGAGGGTGTCACTACCTCCTTCACACCTAATTAACCGCACCGGTACTTCATTGAAGGGACGTGGCTGGTCCCCTCTTTCTATCTTTCATATTTCAACCAATCAAAATAATCTATATCTTCGCTGCATCACTTTTTTTGTCACGCCCTCATTCAAGTCCCACAACACACATATTTTTATCACTCTACGTCATATCTCTTTACACGTCGTCAAGTCCTAATCAAGCTCATCATAGCAGATGGTCTTATGATGATTGTAACGCCTTGCCCCTCTCCTCTTCTCTTCAATCATATATTTATACCTCTCTCAAATTTGATCAAGTAAAAGTGAAAAATATTAATAACTGTAGTAGGATTTTATGAGGTGTTAAGACTCTGTTATTTTCGATTTGAAAAACAGAGTTGGACGTTGGAACGAAGGATTATGAAAACTAAAAAATTTTGGAAGAAATTGGAAGAAGTTAGAAAAACTGGAAGGAATTAGATAAACTAGAAAGAGTTGATTTTTTTTTACAAGAATGTAAACTAAACAAAAAATGATAAAATATTTATTTTATTTTATAAATTTCATGTTTTATTTAAAAAGTGTGTACTCTACCTTTTAAAACTTTAATCTCTCTTTTCTCATGTCACCATATATTATTCAAAATCGTATTTGTAATTTTTGTGTGACTCACACAGTCACACTCTTTATATAATTTTTAAAATCAATATTTATTATATTAGTTTTCATTTTTCATTTGTATGCCACTAATCTATGCAACAAAAACAAGAAGATAAATTAAGCAATACTTTTTACTAACTGTAGTTAAAAGAAAAATTAGAATTAAATAATATAATAATGTCTCGACCAAATAAAAATAATCTTATATCGCATTTTATATATTAAAATAGTCATAAAAATGAATTGAGACTAACAATGTTAATTTTACATTAAAAATTACTTATTTAACATGATTTATATTTTTTATTTATGTTAATTTTGTATTAGAAATTACTTATTTAACATGATTTATATTTTTTTAATCTAAATATAAAAAAATTTACAAATGCTAAAGGAGAAATGATTAAAGAGTACATATCATTTGTAAGAATTATGTGTAAATCATTCAAAACAACTTAGATTAAATTTTTTTAGTGAATGAACTTGGAACGCTGAATCGGATAAGAAAGCATGAGTAATTTCTGTTAGAGGTCAGTGCTTATAAAAGTTTGAGTTGTATTTATTTTCAAATGTACCTTGTATATTTTTTAATTAGAAAAATATCACTATTCTAAAGGAAGGAGGGAAACAGAACAAAAAAGCATATCCTAAAAGTGATGCCAATTTTTCGGACTGTGGTTATGGATTAGTGCTTACAATGGTTTAAATTATTTTTATTTCCAAAAATGTCCTATTCTTTTTTATTAGGTAAAGTTTAATATTCTAAAATAATGAGTGAATAAGGGGTAATAAAATGCGCCAATTCATTCTCGTAAAAACTTTTAGTATTTTGTTTTTCATATGCTTCAAGAATAGTATAACTTTTTTTTAAACTTTTTAGTATTTCATATTTTATAAAAGTCAAATATATAATGTCAATGCAACATAGGTAGTTTTTATTATACTTTCGACATATGCACATTTAAAAAATAAATAATATTAATTTTACACAATTATTTCTTCGTGTAATAAATTAATGTATGAATATTTGTTATTTTCATACACTTAGAACAAGCACACACATTGTAAAAATTATTAATGTATGAACATAGAAAAGTTATGTAATGTTTGATGAAAGGAAATATAGAATGCACAATTATTTTGGTCAAAATTATAAAACGTTGACTATAACATATTTCAAAAAACACAATTAACAAAAATTTCAAGTTTACAACAGAAACTATAAATTAATTCATTAGGAATTTTAAGAATTTACGTGACTCTATAATTGTAATTAGAATTTATACCCTAGACACACCTTTTAAATAAATTATGATATTAAATCAATTTTTTATTTTATTGAGATGATAATAACAATGATAATAATAGTAATAAATGAAAATAAACCTAAATAATTCTTTTAAGTCATTGTTAAAAAAAATGGAAGAAGTTGACTAGAAAAAGTTAGAAGAAACTGGAAGGAGTTGAAAAAACTGAGAGGAGTTGGAAGAAAATGGAAAGAGTTGAGAGAAACTGGAAAGAGTTGGAAGAAATTGAAAGGAGTTGAAAAATATTAGAAGTTAAGAGTTAACGTTTAAAAGAAGAGAGTCTAACTAGCGGAGTCCTTGTCGAGGTGGTTTGTCAGATGACAAATAACTGGTAAATTTCGAAATAGCTGGTAAAGTCCAAAAGTTGATCGGAGTTTACGAGAAATGCTCTCGGTGTCGGAAGAACGGGATGAACGACGCCGATGTTCTCTGGCTTGGCACGGCCCGGTATCAAGACAACGGGCACCAAGGTAAGGTGCCCATCGATATTTGGAGAATTTTAAGCCGTTTACCGAAATGACAACGACTCAACAATCCCGACGCCAGATCCTCTAAGAAAAGATCCTCCGTCGGCGCCGAGGGTGAGGTCGATGACACTATCGGTTTGTTCGAACGAAGGCCTCCCCTCAACGTTGACGATTCCAATGACGAGGACCCCATTCCACGGCCGATCAAAAGAAAGAAGGCAAAATCCATTGCCCCGGGTTCTGGAGGATCCGTTTTTGTTTCTGTTTCTTCTCATTGGATATCGGTCAGGCAATGGTTGAAGAACTTCAGGTGTTCAATATTAGAGAAGAAGAGAGAGCGAGAAGAAAGCAAGAGAAGGAAGTGATCGAAATAATGGAAACCGACCTTGATATGTTATCGAGCTTCAAACGTATGATCTTCGAGAGAAGATAAAAAAAGATCAAGGCTAGATATATTATTTACCTTAGTTTTTTTATTAATGTATTTTTTAAATTATTGTCGTTTTATTTTTTTTTAATTTAATGAATGTAATTTTTTTATAAATTATTCTCGTTTCAATTTAATTAAATAATAAAATAATTAAATTTATTAATTTAGTTTTAGAAGATTTTTATTTAAAATGTAATGAAGTTGAAGTCTCACTTTGAAGCCCTGGGGCTTCAAACACATTTCCAATAATTAAGTTAAACTGACGTGACAGAAAGAGACTTTGAAACCCTAGCTTGAAACCCTGAGGCTTCATACATTTTTCCTGTGCCCTCACAATTTAGAATGGACCATGCTACACTTACACTAAAATTTGTACTCCAAACTTACACCAAAGGTATACACCAATATTTTGATGGTTCACACTGACATAAAGTGTTAGTATGTGAACAAAAATTTACACTGACATAATGTATTGGTACGTAAATAAAAATTAGTATTAGAGCAAAACAAAATGTAGGTACATAAATGAGATAGAAATCTTTGGAGTACAAATAGCTTTATCTATCTGCAATAGCAAGGGTACCCCTGCCTCTTTTGGTATTGTATTCATCTCATTGGGGACATGGGCAAAACGGCAAGGGAGAGATGTACCCAAATCTGGTTTCTGCGCTGCACTGTCTGACAAGTAGATACTACTAACCATCATCATCATCATCCACACTACACTACATTATGCCGCTGGGCATAATAGCTCAGCTAAACAGTACTACTCCGTAAAATACTCCTCATTGACCCAGCGTTTACATCAAAAGGTAAAACCAATTCCAATTCCACTCCTTACTTTACTCTCCCATGGCTTCTCTTTTCCTCGTCGGTTGATTTCCACCACGCACCACTCCTCAAAAAACCCATTCATTTATTGCATCAACCCTAACATTCATCCATAAAGATGCTGCAAAATTTCCAAGAAAAGGCGATGGAGCGCCATACTGTCTAGCTAGTAATGAAGACAGATTTCTGGGTCTTTCTCATTTGGCTCCAAGCTCTTCGGATCTTTACCGGGATTTCTTGTTCCTAGATCTGTAGGTTTGGTCTTTAGTTCTTGCTGTGTTCTATCTGTTACAGCTTTTTCTTGTGGAAAAAAGAGAAGATTTTTCAAGGGCTTTCTGGGGTGCCATCACTAAGTAGTTGGAAGATTTAAGACACGGTTTCAATGTTTCTGAACAAGTGCTAGGGAGGAAAAGAACCTTTTTTTGGGCTTTGAGGAAGCATGATGTCAATGTCCTGCAAGGATGGTAAGACTGCTGTGGACGGCAAGTATGTCCGCTACACGCCTGAGCAGGTTGAAGCCCTGGAGAGGGTCTACCATGAGTGCCCCAAACCCAGTTCCCTGCGCCGTCAGCAGCTCATTCGCGAGTGCCCCATTCTCTGCAACATTGAACCCAGACAAATCAAAGTCTGGTTTCAAAATAGGAGGTGATGACCCGGAATGTGTTTTATGTATTTATTGCATATATTGAGTGTATTGCATCCAAAGATCTTCTTTTTAAAGTTTTTGTTTGTATTTCTACTTGTTATTTTCATGATTCCCAAAACTTAATCTCTCTCGAGTATTTTTCGTTAAAAACGGCGTATACTTACTTTGTCATTGTTTGGAATGACTAAAATAGTGTGTTCTTGAAATACCAGATGCAGGGAGAAACAGAGGAAGGAAGCATCCAGACTTCAATCTGTCAACAGGAAGCTGGCAGCCATGAACAAGCTCTTGATGGAGGAGAATGACAGATTGCAGAAGCAAGTTTCGCAGCTGGTCTATGAAAATGGCTATTTCCGCAAGCAAACACATTATGTAAGACTGGCTTGTATGATAAATAGGTCTATGAACATGTTCTTTTGGTCATTACTAAAGACTTATTCCTTAGCTCCATAAATTTAAAAAATAAGTTATTTCTTCCATTGCAGACTGGGCTTGCTACAAAAGACACCAGCTGTGAATCGGTGGTGACAAGTGGTCTGCACCAGAAGACACCTCAGCATCCCCCAAGGGATGCCAGTCCTGCAGGGTTAGTGTGGTTATGGCGATTCAGTCATTTTCATGGATATTGGAACACCATGTTTGGTTTGTGTTTCTGGGTTGCTTATAAAATGCTCATGTTTTGAATATTCCAGGCTTTTGTCCATTGCAGAAGAAACTTTAACAGAGTTTCTTTCGAAGGCTACTGGAACTGCTGTCGAGTGGGTCCAAATGCCTGGAATGAAGGTATTTCATATTCCTAGGCTATACAACTATCCATCCCATTTTAGCACACATTGTAAAACACCATATTTTCCTGTAAATAAGCCGTCCACACCATACAGTAAACAACCTTCATGGAATAGCCTTACAATGCTGCCTCCTGGACTGATTACTTGTTTACACATAAAAAAACATATTCTCCTGCAAAACATATGCTTCCATCTGTTTCAATTTTTTAATCTCATTGTTAAATCATACAAACCATGATGCAATTTATTTATCTTGTTAATATGATTAGCCTGGTCCGGATTCCATTGGAATCATTGCTATTTCTCATGGCTGCACTGGAGTTGCAGCTAGAGCTTGTGGCTTAGTTGGTCTTGAGCCTTCGAGGGTAAGAAGATTACTCTTTTTATTCTTTTTTGTTACATATAATGAAGCTTGTATATGTACTCTGTATTATTTATGGGTACAAAATTGGCTATGCATCTTCCAGGTTGCAGAAATCCTCAAGGATCGACCTTCTTGGTTTCGAGATTGCCGAGCTGTTGATGTTGTAAATGTGCTTCCCACTGCCAATGGTGGAACTATTGAGCTTCTATACATGCAGGTAGATAAAGTTATATTCCTCGATCTTAATTTGCCTTTTACTACACTATTGTCAAGCTAGCTGCTTATAAACTCTGTTTATGTTTTAGCTCTACGCACCAACCACTCTAGCGCCAGCTCGAGATTTCTGGCTGATGCGGTTTACTTCTGCTATGGAAGATGGAAGTCTTGTGGTATGATATTTGTCTAGTCCGACATTTTCTATCATTTTTTCAATTTCCCATTAATGATATGATAGGTGTTTTTTTAAAATAAAATACAGGTATGTGAAAGATCAATTGGAAATGTACAAAATGGTCCAAGCATGCCGCCCGTGCAGAACTTTGTTAGAGCAGAAGTGTTGCCTAGTGGGTACTTGATTAGACCATGTGAAGGTGGAGGTTCAATTATCCATCTTGTTGATCATATGAACTTAGAGGTAAATTTTGGCTCCAGTTGGCTCCTATAAATTGTTCACTATGGTAATTAGCATAATAGGCATTATTTGTAATCCTTGACTTGCTAATTTGGCTGAAGTGAATTATGACTTATCAACTGCTCTTCCTTTAAGAAAATCCATTCAAATAAATCTTCCTTATTCTAGTATCTACATTTTAATAATATGTATTTGCTTGTAAATTATGTTAATTTATTGTGCCGATTTCACTCTTGATTCAACAATAGGCATGGAGCGTGCCAGAAGTGTTGCGCCCATTGTACGAGTCCTCGGCAATGCTGTCTCAGAAGTCAACAATGGCTGTATGTTTTTGCCCTACCTTGCCACCATGAATTTCAAGAAGAAAATCTATCAATCACACTTTTTTTTTGAATAATTATCTCAGGCTGTCCGTCAATTGAGGCAGATAGCTCAAGAAAGTTCTCAGTCAAATGCTACAAACTGGGGACGGCGCCCTGCAGCTTTACGCGCGTTGAGTCATAGATTGAGCAGGTTGTGTAGTCAACTTATCTTTTCTTTCCTTCCTATTTTGACTTGGAGTGCATGAACACTCAAGGTTCTGTGTCGTTCACGCTTCCATTCCAATTCCACTGTAAAAACAAACCCTTCTTTGCTTTGAGAGGTATTGTTAAATTATATTCAGTTGAATGCAGGGGTTTTAATGAGGCTTCGAATGGGTTTGCCGACGAGGGGTGGTCAATGCTTGTTAATGATGGCATGGATGATGTCACTGTCCTTGTTAACTCCTCACCGGACAAACTAATTGGCTCAAACCTCATTTACACAAATGGATTTACATCAATGAGCAGTGCAGTGTTGTGTGCAAAAGCTTCAATGCTTCTTCAGGTTAGCTAAAGTATTAGGACCATATCTCGTTGACCATCTTATGAAAATGCTAACAACTTAACTTTGTATGGCTTTCTAAATAAAACATTCAAAAGTTTGATTTAATGGTACATTTGGATCTCGGAAAATGTTTGGGAAAGAAATTCTGTATTTGGTTTTACCTTAAAAAAAATTACCCTGCAGTTATAATGAGTTTGAACAGATGTAAAAAAAACTGAGTTGGAACCAATGTTTTATTTCTACCCACGGTTTCTATATAATTCACTCCGCATTTTGTTTCTCCAACTTTTTTTTTATTTCCAAAGGGACCCTAGTTGCTTATGGCTTGTGCAAGAAAAAGTTTATAACCATGACTTTTGTTTGTGTTTTTACTGCTACCTCTCCTTTCAGAATGTCCCACCTGCAGTACTTCTTAGATTTCTAAGAGAGCATAGGTCAGAATGGGCAGATATTAATATTGAAGCTTATTCCGCTGCCGCTATTAAAGTGGGTCCTTGTAGTTTACCTGCGGCCCGCATCTGTAACTATGGGAGTCAAGTAACACTTCCACTGGCTCACACCATTGAGCATGAAGAGGCATGTAGATCAATATCTTCTCTTCTCTTCTTGGTGGCTTTCATTCATTTTTTTTGTACTTCTTCCATCCGGAATTAGTTGTCCAATTTTATAAAAATCTCAATTTAAAGAAATCAATTTTGAAATGTCATGTAAACCCTTTAATGGGTTTGTACTCTTTCATTGTCAGCAATGCTCATGCCTTGTCTCTAGGATATTCACGAGGAAGTAAAACTTTACAATTAACTGTTCTTTGTTGCAGTTGCTGGAGGTCATTAAATTTGAAGGACTCGGCCATTCTGTGGAAGATCCAATAATGGCAAGGGATTTGTTTCTGTTGCAAGTAAGTGTATATTTTATTGGGTAATTGATATCTAAGTGCACGGCTGTGATTATTTTTGAAACAGATTGTACTTCTGAATTATTTTATGGTATGTTTGGGAACATGGATTTGGATTCCAAATCCGGATTTGACTCAAATTTCATGTTTGGAAACTTGAAAATTTTGAATTTGGATTTGAGTCAAATTCTTTTCATTCATAACAAAGCTTAATTTGATATTCATGCAACTCCCCTTGTCATTTGAAATTCAAGATTTCAAATTTTGGAATTGAAATGCATGAATTGAAATGAAATGCTAGTTGCCAAACACTACCTTACTGAATTGAAAGCAGTAATTATGAACTCCAGAGTTAATAAAGCACTTTTGTAGATGTACATATTTCGACTTGTTTTGAAGTCATCCCAAACTGGCACCAAGACAATGTATATACTCTCTCCATTCCAAAACCTCCATCCCCCTTCTTTTTTTTCTTGTCTCACAAACTCCTTCCGTTTTCTATTAAAAAACCATTTCCCCCCCCTACTAATTCTTACCCTAACTATCACATCATACCTTTTTACTAATAATTTATCCATCACATTAAAGGTATTTTTGGAAAGTCAACACAAAAATATCCCGCTCTTAAATTATCTTTATGGGACGGAGGAAGTATCTTTAATGCAAAGATCTCTATTATGTAAAAGTTTCATAATGCATTGGCTATTCTTTAGCCTCCAATATTCTAATATCTTGGTTATTATCTTTATGTGAACATCTTTATGGGACGGAGGAAGTATCTTTAATGCAAAGATCTCTATTATTTAAAAGTTTCATAATGCATTGGCTATTCTTTAGCCTCCAAAATTCTAATATCTTGGTTATTATCTTATTTTTGATAGATGTGCAATGGAATGGATGAAAGTGCAGTTGGCACATGCGCAGAGCTTATATTTGCTCCAATTGATGCATCTTTTACCGATGATGCCCCTCTCCTCCCTTCTGGTTTTCGTATCATCCCTCTCGATCTTGGAAAGGTTTGTTTCTCTTCTTCATCTTTTACTTTTCTTCCACTTTGGAAACATTAGAAAATTTTCTTGTTTTTTTAATATATTATTTCGAAGAAATGAAGCCTAATATGGTATAAACACAGGAATCTTCGAGCCCAAACCGAACCCTAGACCTCACTTCTGCTCTTGAGACAGGGGCAGCCGAGAATAAAATGCTGAATGATCTCAAAGCTAATAGTGGTGCCACAAGATCTGTTATTACCATGGCTTTCCAGTTTGGCTTTGAAAGTCACACGCAGGAGAATGTTGCGGCCATGGCCAGGCAATATGTGCGTAGCATTATCTCTTCCGTTCAGAGGGTAGCCTTAGCTCTTTCTCCTCACTTGGGCTCCCATGGTGGGCTTCGGATGCCACTTGGCACTCCTGAAGCACATACCATTGCGCGCTGGATTTGCCAAAGTTACAGGTTAGGTTTGTCAAAGATGTGCCTCAGTTTTAACCAAAGAAATTTGAGATCTGGGTAGCTCATGCCCACTTTCTGCTATTTGTTTTAGGTGTTTCATGGGTGTGGACCTCCTTAAATCCACTGGAGAAGGAAGCCAATCAATTCTGAAAAGTCTCTGGAACCACTCGGATGCCATTGTTTGCTGCTCCGCAAAGGTTTGATTTTTGATACCTACACTTCATTATTCTTGGTTTTCCATGTTCGGTTCAAGGAATTTGAAAGGAAAAAGAAAAGAAAATGAGATGGAAAACAGTTTTTCTTGTTTGGTTAGAGAGGAAAAGAAAATAAAAGTGGAAGGAAAAGAAACCGAGTAGGCAAAATGTACTACGAGGAGACAAAACTAAATTCCTCTCGTTTTGGTGAAGAAAATGAGAGGAAATCATCTTCTTTTCTTTTCCTTCCAAAAAATTAAACATAGCGTTAAAGCTCTGCTTGAAAGTGGAAAACATGGGACAATGAAAATGCGGATTGAAATAAAAACAGCCTAAAACATTCAAAAATCCCATTTTCATTCTCTATTATCTAAAGACTAAAGATATATAATTACTACAGGCATTGCCAGTTTTCACATTTGCAAACCAGGCTGGTCTTGACATGCTCGAAACAACTCTGGTTTCACTTCAAAACATAACCTTGGAAAAGATATTTGATGATCATGGAAGAAAGAGCCTCTGCTCTGAGTTCCCACAGATAATGCAACAGGTAAAACCAATGCAAGAAGGAATATGAATAACACTGCATAAAAATTACATTTTCCTCAATCATCCTTTTAACCACTGCTTGGTTCATGGAACTAGGAAGGAAAAGAAAATAGTCAGAAATGAAAAAGAAAATAGTCAGAAAATAGTCAAAAATCCTAACTTTGTTTGGTTATTAGTTTCTTGACCAGTAAGATATGGCCTGCAGGGGTTTGCGTGTGTCCAAGGTGGGATATGCACGTCGAGCATGGGCAGGCCGGTCTCGTACGAGAGGGCAGTGGCGTGGAAAGTCGTGAACGAAGAAGAAACTCCCCATTGCATCTGCTTTCTGTTTCTGAATTGGTCTTTTGTGTAATAAGTGTGTTAATTAATTTCCCAGCACTCTCTGTTGCCTAACTAGTTGAGACCAAAACCTCCCAATCCCCAGTCTGTGTATCCCATGAAGGAATCATCTTTGTCACAACACAAGAACAAACTGATCTTCCTTAATCTCTGGTGCATGAAAACTGTTATTTAGTTCTTGTTTTTGTTTTGGTTTGGTCTGTGAAGTCTCTAGGATGCAATCTTTTATTTTCAAATAGGGGTAAATTATCAATTGAACAGCCTAAACAAGCTTTGGGCCGGCACTGGTTTTTCCTTGAACCTCTCCCAAAACCTCCTTGTCCCCCACCACAGCACTCCTGCCTTCATCTCATTTTTGATATTCATTTAATTGATAAAATAATACGAGTATTATCTCAACTCTTAGTTTATAAAGCTTTAGATGTATGGAGTTGTTTTTCAAAAAAAAAAATTATATTAGAATTCGATATCAATTTCACACAAAACAAATGATTAATTCATGTCAAACATTATAAGCTACTACCTTAGTCTTATTTTATCACGCCTGTTTCGGTTTACGATGTTTGACTGAAATTATTTTCAAATCATTTTATATGATAAATGGTATAGAATTAAAAAATATAAATTACATATTAAAAAACTATATCAAAAGATCTACAAAAAATATAAATTACATATCAAAAACTATATCAACTAGTAGTGACAATAATATTTTATTTTATCAAATTGCTAACGAAAATAGAGAAAGGAAATGAATGAAGTTTGGTCCTGTGAATAGTAAACATGCATTATAATTTGGGACGGAGGGGATAAAACGGATAATTTAAATTTAAACCATCAATATTTGATTGGAAAAACACACAGCATAATATGGAGAATCAACAAAGACTTGTACCGAGTATTACCCAAAACATTTTGAATAAAAATCTCTCGGGTTACGCTTGGTACTAGGGGTGGACACGGCACGGTTCCGGTTCCGGAACCGCCGGTTCCGGTACCGCCACCCCATGGCACCGGTACCGTGACCGGACCGGCCGGTACCGGTTCCGGTTCCCAGACCGGCGGTTCCGGTACCGGACCGGCCGGGTTCGCCNTGCTTTTTTTTAAATTTTTAAAGTATAAAAATGTAAATTTGTAATTGTTTAAGAAAAGAATGAAATAAAAAATCTAAAAATGTAGTAGTTGTTATTTAAATATTGAAAATGAGTAATACACTAAATGAAGAATAAGTAATAAGTTTTTTTAGGTGAGCGATATATAAGAACATAAAATTTTTTTATAACTTATTCTTCAAAACTCCACCCATAGCTTCTAGTCCCTGTTGAACACATAAATGTAAAACATGACAGGCACACCGTTGATGCAGAAATCTACCCATAGTCTTAGACGGTGTGCAAATTTCTCTAAGTCTAGGAATAACAGCAGTATTATTAGTAGCATTATCAAAACCAAATGAAATTTTTTTTCCAGATAAGTTATATTCCCGCAGAATACTCTGAAGCAATAGAAAAATATTTTCAGCAGTATGCTGGTCATTGAAATCATGAAATGCAAGAACACGTTTATGCATAATGTAATCACTATCTATCCAATGACAAGTAACACCTATATACGACAAATTATGATAAGTTTCACCCCAAATATCAGAACAAATAGCAACACGAGAATTAAAATTGAGAAAAAAATTTGTCAAATTAATTTTTTCCATTTTATACTGGTGAATAATTTCTCGTTTAATTGTTTTTCTTGAAAAACCTCGTGCATAAGGGTTTAATGCCTGTTGACAATAATCAATAAATCCAAGTTTTTCAGAAAACATGTATGACGAATTTTCTTCACAAATCATTTCGGCCATTTTTTGCTTATTTTGCTCGTCGCTATAAGCAAAAAGGCCGCCCTTACCTCTGTTAGCAAACCGAGAAATTTGGGTTTGCACTTCTTGTCGTCCCTTCTTTTTCGCCGCGTATTTGGCGTACTCCACGGGATGCCTCGACCTTAGGTGTTTTTCCGGACCGCCATATCCGCCGGAAACTCCCATTTTAATGACGGTCCCACAATAATTGCAAGTTCCATAAACTATGTCATCTTTTGTTTCTTTTTCAAAATGATAAACAAATAAATCTGATTTCTTTAATATGTTAATATATATTTATATTATTATATAAATATAAAATGTATAAAAGATAATAAGAATTGAGATATAAGATTTAAGAGATTTAGAGAGGGGTAGGAAGAAATGAGATTATGAGAATGATGTGTTTTTTTTGAAAGGATGAGAATGATGTGTTATTTGTTTATGAGAATGATGTGTTATTTGTTTAAAAAAATGGTGTATTTATAGTGTTGAGTGCCCCCTACCCCCTCCCCCCTCCCCTAACCCCCCAAACACCCCCCCTCAACGGCATCATAGCCGTTTGAGGGGACTCCCTCACGCTCCAATCAATTTTTTTTGCAGGAGCCGTTGGACATGAGTAGTGAAAACCGGAAAAGAAAAAAAAATAATTACGGTGCGGTACTGGAACCGGTACCGGTACCGCCGGTGCCGGGACGGAAATATTGACACCAGAACCGGTACCGAAATAAGCGGTACCGGTACCAGTTCCTAGTACCGGTACCGAAATGGGCGGTACCAGTACCGGTTCCTGGTACCGGATGACGATTCGAACGACGGGGCCGGTGGCGGGTACCGCCGGTAACAGTACCGAACCGGTACCGTGTCCAACCCTACTTGGTACACGTGATGGAGTTTACGCAGAGAAGAAAACTGAAAACCTCCATTGTATTGATTGAGAAAAGTATTCAACATTACAAACTGGTCTAGGGGCATTTATATAGATGCTAAGTCACAAGCCAAGTCATATAAGAAAAGGATAAAGAAAAGATAACCAACTAATAGAAAATTAACCGAAAGTAACAAACTATAACAAACTAACTAATCACAGCTTAAGCTACTCCAACACCACCTCTCAAGTAAAGTGCCTTAACCCCCAACTTGGCTAGGAATTTGTGATGAAGAGGACCAGGAAGGCTTTTAGTAAACAAACCGGCAATTTGTTGTGAAGTGGGGATATGGCATAAGGTGATCAAGCCTTCTTGCAACTTTTCTCTCACAAAATGACAATCTAACTCGATGTGCTTTGTTCTTTCGTGATATACTAGATTGGTGGCAATATAAATTGCAACCTTACTGTCACAACAAACTGGAATAGGAATAATGTCAGGAACATCCAAATCAGCAAATAATCTTGACAACCATGCAAGCTCAGCAGTGACTCTTCGAATGGACCTATACTCAGCTTCTGCTGAGCTAAGAGAGACAGTAGTCTGTTTCTTTGTTTTCCAAGAAACATGGCTCCCTCCCAAAACAACAAAATAACCACTTACAGATCTGCGAGTAAAGTCTGAGGAATCATTGAAGAACAAATCTTGGGAAGGAGAAGAGTTGAGATATCTAAGGGTGCGGTGAGTTGCCTCCCAATGAGAAACCCTTGGATCTTGCATGAACTGGCTCAAAAATCAAACTGCATAGGCTATGTCTGGCCTAGTGTGAGTAAGGAAATTTAGTTTCCCTACAAGACACCTGTATTTGGAAGGATCAGGCAATGGTTCCCCTACATTAATGCGTAGCTACAGATTAGTGTCCAATGGGCAAGTTGCTTGGGAGGAGGGAGGACAACCAAATTCTGAGAGAAGGTCCATAGTAAATTTATGTTGAGTATGGATGAGAGAATCATTTTCATAAACAGCTTCTAGCCCAAGAAAGTAACCCAACTTCCCTAGGTCCTTGATCTTAAACAAATTATCAAGATGACTCTTGAGGTTCGAAATTTCAGCTGAATGATTGTCTGTGATTAAGATGTCATCTACATAATATGAACCACTAAAGAGCCCATGTGTTTGGTAAAGAGAGAATAATCATTCTTGGATGTGACATAACCTCTGGACTTGAGGACAGCTTTCAACTTGGCATACCATTGTCTAGATGGCTGTTTTAACCCATATAATGACTTCTTTAGCCTGAGAACCTTATTGGGTGGAATAGAAGACATGCCCTGAGGTGGTTGCATGTAAATTTCTTCATTCAGGTCCCCATGTAGAAATGCGTTATTGACGTCCAATTGAAACATTGGCCAATGATGTTTGAAAGCTACAACTATTAGAGCTTGAATAGTGGTCATTTTGACTGCTGGAGAAAAGGTCTCATGGTAGTCTATGCCAGCTTTTTGGGTACATCCTCTGATGACCAGGTGAGCTTTGTGCCTTTCTAGGGTGCCATCAGATTTGAACTTGAGTTTGTACACCAACCTACTACTGATGGCCTTTTTACCTTTTGAAAGATCATAATACCATTGTACTCTAGAGCTTTGAATTCCAAAGCCATGGCTTGAACCCAGGCCTGAATAAGACCTTGGCTCCTGCATAAATGAAACAATGTACAACAATTGTTGGCTCTTTTGAGTTAGGGCCCCTAAGCATATGTGTGAAGAGCTAGGGGTGGAAGTGACAGTGTGGGAACAAGGAGAAAGTGAAAGAGGAACTTGTAGGAGACTCTGAATGATGAGGAGCAGAGGAATGACAAGCATAATCCTTGAGATAAGAAGGATGATGATGAGATCTAGTGGATCTTCTAAGAAGATAAAATGAGATGAGAAATGAGGATTGGAAGATTCAGAGAGTGAATCAGAGGAGGAATCAGGTGTGTCTTCAAAGGGATGTTTAGGATTCACATGAGAAAAAAACGAGGGCTGTTGTGATAAAGGAGACTGATAAGGAAATATTTGTTCATGGAAAATGATGTCTCTGGAGTCCTCCATTGTATGTGTATTGAGATTATAAACCTTGTAGGCCTTTTTTCCATAGGGATACCCTAAGAAAATGCAAGGGGAAGCTCTTTTATCAAATTTATGCCTTCCCTGGGGTTGAGTAGAAGTGTAACATAAACAACCAAACACTCTCAAGTGATCATAGTTGGAAAGTTTGCCAAAGAGAATTTCATAGGGTGATTTGTTCTGTAGAAGTTTTGTGGGAAACCTATAGATGAGATAAGTGGCAGTTAATCTTTCATCAAGTTCATTCCAGATTTCAGCAACAGAATTCACATATAAAACACTATCTCTTATTTCCTTGCTCAGAACATTTAGAATCCA